CAGCATCTTGCTGGCATCACTCTTCACCCTATTCCATAGACTGTGTTCTTAATTTTCAAAGTTCTGCATAATTTTTATTGCTCTTTTTGTCATGGTTTCTAGCCTCATTCAACTGTGGTCAGCAAGCATAGGTCACATAATTTCACTTTAATACTTGTTGCAACTTGCTTTATGACCCAGTATATTGTAAATTTTATTAAATGTTTCATGTGAATTAAAAAAATGTGTATTATGCAGTTGTTTGGTGTAGTATCTTGTTCTATTAGTTACTAAGATAAATATACTAAAAGCTCAAACTATAATTGTGAGTTTTCCTATTACTACTTTTAGTTTTATAGTTCTTTTTGCTTCATATATTCTAAAGCAATGTCAATGGGTACCTACAAATTTAGGATTCTTATATCTTCCTATTGAAATAACCTTTCTATGATTATAAAATGCCCCTATGTATCATTTTTTATCTTACAGTTTGACATTAGTATAGCTTCAAGAGCTTACTATTTATTAGGATGTGCACAGTGTCTCTTGCCTTTTTATTTTGAACATTTTTGCATCTTTATATTTTACACATATCTCTCATGAGAAGCATGTAGTCAGGTTTTATTGTTTAATCCACTGTGACACTTTTGTCTTCTATTTTTTTTTTTTAATTTCAAATGTGGTATATGTATACCATGGAGTTCTACTCAGCCACAAAAAGCAATGGTGATCTATCACCTCTTGCATTATCTCGGATAGAGCTGGAGCCCATTCTACTAAGTGAAGTATCACAAGAATGGAAAAACAGGCACCACATGTACTCACCATCAAATTGGTTTTAACAGATCATCACTTAAATGCACATATAGTAATAACTTTTGCCTTTTAGATGTAGTATTTAGCCCATTTGCTTTAATGTGATTACACTATGTTTGAATTCAAATCTAACATCTCACTTTTTATTTATTATTAGTTTCAAATCTTTGTTCTTTATTTCTCCTTTCTTGCTTTCTTTTGTATTGATCAAGTATTTTTATTACATTTCCCCTTATATTAGCTTATCAGTTATGCATTTATTTATTATTATTTTGTGGTTATCCTGGAGATTGCAACATGAATTCTTTGACTTATTAGAGTTTCGTAAAAATTAGTATTTTTACCACTTCCCAGGCAATGCAAGTACCTTATAACAGTTAAATTCAATTTACTTCATGCACGTTCCTTTTTGTATTACCACTACCATAAATTTTTCATGTATTTAAAATTTAATATATTATTATTAATATTATTTGTAAACAATATTCATGTTCTCTACACATATATGTGCTTTTTTGTGCTCTTTATTTTATCTTATATTAAATGTGGATCATCTCAGGTCATTTTCCTTCTGGCTGGAAAATTCTCATTAGTGTTTCTTTTAGTGTTTTCTGTTGGCAATGAAATTTTATGGTTTTTGTTTTAAAATATCTTTATTTTATCTTAATTTGTTAATAACACTTTTGTGGCATTAACAATCTTAAGTTGGCTGTTATTTATGTTCAGAACTTTAAATGTTTAATTCCATTTTTTGGCTTCTATCACTCATGTCCCTTTTTATGTTAAGATATAGGTTAGAATCACCTAAAAACCAAATAGGCACACACATATTCATTTATAACATAAATATAACCAAGAATACACCTTGGAAATGAAGAAAACCACCCAGAAGTTTAACTATATTTGAACTTCCAATAATTTGAGTCTGAGACGACACCTATGCAAAGTAGGCATTTCATAATATTTGGCTAAATTGTCCCTTTTCTCAGTATTTCTTAGTTGCCTTTTCTAGCATTCTGCAAAGTGAGATGCATGTGCAAGAGAATACATTGAAGTGTTGGAATAAGATATTAGAACTTCAGTTTATATATTTTGATTCATCTTTTGAAAATTTTTATCTTAATGTATGATTTATACTATATGTCATTGCAGTAGACTACAACTAATATACACACATATTAAGTTCATGTGCTCTAAATTGTTTACTAGTAAAAGCCTTTGAAAAAGGAAGTTTAGTAAACATTACTTTGCACTGTGGGAAATAAGTGAAAATCAATGCAGGTACAAAGTCCTTTTTGTAGAATAAAAATGCAGTGATTCAGCCAGCATGGC